TTTTTTTTTTTTGTAAATAAAGAGCTGGCGCTGGAGTTGCATGGGCAGATTGTCACGTCGATTCTCTGCTACGTCCACCGTCGATGGCTTTAGGGAAAGATAGCGGTTGTGCACCATGTGTTACTGGTGTTGCCCACTGCGTATGATTCCACTTCTGCGTCGTGACTTGGCAGTAGATGTTATGAACCTTACTCTTCACTTTGTTTAATCTTGGAAAATTTGTAATTCGAGTATTAAACCAAAACAGGAAAGATAAGAAGTGCGGGTAAAACTTCTGTGTTTTATATGCTTTAACCACCCCATTGACGTTCTTCAACGTTTTTGTAGTGTGTTAATACTGTCTTTAAACTTTTCCGGTGCAATTCAAAGTTGGCTGATTTTTATGACTTTTTTGTACCCTGAAATTGATTGACTTCTTGTAAATCTACTAGTCTTATGCAAATATGTTTCGCGAATGAACTGCCAAAACTTAGTTCTTTTTCAGCATCATGTACATAGTCTTGTATTTTCCTTCTCCAAAACCATCTTTGTGTTGTATTTGCAGTTTTGACGAAGCTTTATAACACACATTTGCATTTTACTGCTCTTTTGTATTATCAACCTGTTCAGTGGTAAGTCGTTGCGTTGACAGTATTTAGAAAATGAGCTTTTCAAATGCTGCAGAAAAACACGAGACTTTTTTTGTTCTTGAGAAAAAATCAGACTGGAAAATTTTACTTTTTGGTTTATTGAAAAGTTGGACCTGAAGCAGGGACGCGGTTTCCATCTGTAAAGTTTTATAAAAACGACCATGTAAAAAAGTTGTTACATTGCATTTTGAGTCAAACGAAGGTATTTAAACATTTAACCAAAGCAATCAGTAACGAAACTATTCTATCCATTCAGTGGTGAGGGTATTTCCGTGTGGCATACTTTAACGCTGACTACCGCTATGCGCCATGTGTTTCTTAAATTTTCGTGCCGTTTTCATTTATTACTGTTCTCTTTGGTATTGTTACCAATACTTGATTTTAAAAATGCAACAAAAAGGTAAAATCTTTTATTACACTGCAAATACAAGATCTCCAACTTGAATAAGTTATTTGAAAAGAAGCAGTTTCCTGGCGGGCATCATTCCGTTAAATGTATCAGGAGCTTCTTTTGCAGTTTTATCTCGTACTTTTAGATTTTTTCATGATTTGATTCTGGCTTGTGAATGAGTTTACGAAAACTTATCTTGTTCGTTACATTTGATGAGGTCTCAAGGTCCGGTGCTGCATCTGCGAGGTTTTGGATGCGAACATATTTGCAAAAAGTAGAAGATTTAGAGTAGTTTCTACAGCAAATAAGCAGATTATTTTTGATATGTAATATATTAGAGAATATTTACAATTACGGGCGTAATATAATGTGTTTGTGGTGTACACACTGGCCTTGTCGGTAGTTGGAACTTCTGGGAAGGGACTGATAAGATGTCAGTCAGCAAAAGAACGCTGAGGAAGCTGTCGGGAAAATCGGGAAAATTGCGTATGTATAGGTGGGGAAGCGGATCGTGCGTTACAAACCGCTGTTACTCTGGAGGAGACTGGGATATGCAAGGGTAAGAAGAGGCTGCCCAAATTGTTCGGAACTTGGGCTGTCTGCTAGCAATTTTAGGTCCTTTGAAAAGTTGGTCGAAAGACACAAAGAGTTATGCAAAAATACTATATTTACGTTAGAGGTATAGAACACTTTGGAAACACAACTGTGCGAATTCGAGATTGCTTGGGACTATTTCGAGACTACTTTGGATGAGAGCGATGGTATCAGCATGCTAGGCAAATAGCGTTGAAAATTTCTCAAAGTTAGCGCACATAACAGAATCCTTCGGTATAAGAGCAGTGAACAAATCCAAAAAATTTTCTGCCTTTGGTTGCTTGGACAAGTCTCTAATTAAGGTTATTCCTTCCAACAGTTTTAATAAAAAAAAGACAGAGAGTACTTGTTTACTACTTTCGCTCAGTATAATTGCCTTAATTATCAACCAATTAATAATTGTAATAGAAAAAGCAACAACAAACGCAAAGCTATCAGTCAACCTGAAATGCAGAATTAAGTCTCCATAAGGCGCAGAAAAAGGAATGAGACAGAAAGAAAAAAAAAAGCAAAAAGCTTTGAAATCTGAATATCGCTGAAATTTAGGTCGCAAACGAAGGAGAGACTGGATTGAATCCCGCTGGATGGAAGCTCCAACCCTCTGAGACTGGTTTTATTCCTTCAGCTGACTGCTGAAGAGTGCTGCTTTGTCGGATTAACCTGCTGTCTACTCTTTAGACGGTTTAGTTTAGAGATAAACAAGAAGCTGTTAGCGTCACAGTGTCATGTTGCCTTCTGTGAGCTGTCGTGACACAGCTGTTTTCATATAAATATGAATGCTGGACAGTTCTTCAAAATATCAGTTTCCATTTCTAAATTAATTCGCGGTTTACTGTAGCTGAAAGCGGTTTGATTGGTTAAACTTTAACCTCTTGTCAGTTTTATATTACTATCTAAGAGAAAGCTAACTTTGACAATCCTTAGGTTTTTCCAAAGTTGCTTCCCTTTTGAAGAGAGATTTGACCTTTCAAAAAACGATTTACTTACTGCTGCTGAGAAGCAAAATTATCTTAACGATGCTTGCACGTTCATCCTGCGCCCGTCATCATCCTGCAGAGGAAGTTAGAAAAAAATAGACTACTCATAGAGTAACCAGTTGTTTAGCGAAACTGTGAAAAGGAACTGTATTTTAAATCCTTATCAGAGTCAACGTTTGTTTTTCTCTCGGCATTTGTACACAGTGTTCTTGAATTTTAAGGTGCTCACAGATATTGTTCAAGTGGGTCGTGCTATTTGACCGTAAGGGAAACTTAGCCCTACTGCGGTAAAAAGTGCTCATTTCCAGACGCGTTTTCTTAAGCTGTCTACATACTTTGATTTTACCACGTGATTTCTCCAACCCATCTAACTTCAGAATTGTTTGTGCACGTCTTGCTGCCTTTTTAACCGCGTAGTGCTGTAATTTCATCTTAGCCCTTCTGGCGTTCCGTAACATTAGCATTTTGGTGGCATGTAGTCAAATGAACAATAACCGCATCTCTAGTAGTTTGAAAGGCTTGGACTTGCTCCCTGCGCAATTCTCCTGTTCAAAATTATTGCATATCTTGACCAGTTTTTACTACTTGGAGGGGCCTGATGATCTATGACTTATCTGTCCCCTTTTTTCTCCAAAAATTAGCCGTCACC